ATGCCCAACACAAAAATCAAATGGCGTTAAAGAGCTAAGCTGAAAGACTAGTTCTTCCCCGTTCCTCTGTGGTGCCTCAATTCAGCAGGCAGAAACTTTACATGTTCAATCCACTTTCACTTACCACTTGTGAAATCTTTAAGTTTTCAAACTTTTTAAAGCAGAAAATATTTTAAGACTACCGTCTCCAGAGTTTGTTTACAAGCTCTGCAAGGCTAACCAGCACCATGGTCTGTTTTTGCAACAGAAGTCTCAAGAGATCTTCAAAAGCAGCTGCATTCCTCTTTATCAGCGAGCGAGTCCTGAATGCCAGCATGTGTGGCAGGCCCAAGTATTCCAGCTATTTGTTGAAGCAGCTCAGCTAAGGAATTTCCAAAGCTTTCTCCTCATGCGTGAGATAATGTACAGAATTATATTTAACTACTGGTGTGGTCGAGTCATGCAGTGCTGCTATTTGAACCCCACAGTACCTACACACACATTTTAAGCTAATGCCATTTAAACATAAGCTTTAAGACTTTCACTGAAACGTGGAATGATAAAGACTCTTTAGATGAGGAGAATGCAATACTACGCCTTAAATCCAGGCCTGCATTCATAAGGAATCAAAAAAATAAATCAGGTTGTTCATCTGTTCCTCGCAGTCAGCTGCTACCAAAGGAGTGCACCGAGAGAGGGTGGAGTTGGGGATAGGAGCAACCAGCCTCAACTGGACAGTAAGGACTGGAAACAACCTGCAGCAGCAATTTTAACTGCGGCTAGTAAGATGAAGCACTCGGCAGATCCAGAAACCCAGAATGAGAACATTTCTCTGAAAAAATAGAGAGGAGATATGAACAGCCAGCATCAAAAACCAAACCCAAAACAATTCAATAATATTAACCAGTCAGTCGCAAAGCGTTACTTATCTGAAGCGAAAAGTGGGATTTTCTGCAAGTCCCTTCTAGGTCTCTCACTTTTAACTTTCAGGAGCACTATCCAAAATTCAGCATATCCTGAAAAGCCACGTGCTGGTGACAGGTCCCAGAATACGTCACTTTCTCTCACCTGTTTAAGCTTCAATGCGGCCTGGACAGAAGGTCTATTCTCCATCTGCTGGGCCAGTCTTCTGTTTCTGGCACTGGCTAGCTGCTGCTGCTGCTGCATGGTAGCCCGAATATTCACTGGCATCGGCTGTTTGTTCTTCAGCATGTTAGTGAAGCTTCAAGGTCGAATAAAATGGGTGTTTAAATAAAGCTTTATTACATACATTTATTGGCATTTCATGGTTCTCAAGACTGGATCTCCAGATCCCATGAACCTTACGTAAAGAGTGGTACTTAGGTCACGTCATATGTGAGTACGTATTCCTTGTTTTCCACAAGTGTGCAAGAACTGGAAACTCAGAAATGACGTTGTATATTAAGTCAGAAGTGACAAAGCTTTAGGTTACTGATTCACAGAAATGGCAGAAGGAATGAGAACAAGCAATAAGCAGAGATGACCATGACAGATGGGAGAGGACATCACAGACACAGAAAAGCAAACTGAAACCTGACTGCAAAAGCCAAATTAACCCTCAAAGATCTGAGAAAACCATTTAAAAACTCAATGCCGGAAGGCAGCTTTACAAAAGACGTTGCCCTGAGAACAGACAGGACTGGTGCCCTAAAAATGCCACCACTCGAGTGCTCTCACTTCTAGAAACAGTTCACTTGGCAATTTCTTTGGTGCACAAAGAATCTTCCGTCTTTAAGAGCTATACAGAGGCAGAACACGCAGCAAGACACTAAGCCTCCTTAGCAGCGACCCAGCAGCTTTCTACTGTGTCCCGAGAGCTACGCAAGACTGCGAAAGAAAACACTTACAGATGAGGAATATGGACTGACCAAAATGAAACAGGCCAGCAAGCCTCCCCTGCACTGCACCTCATCACTCATCTTCAGCTCTGAGCACCGGTTCAGGCTACATCCCACCACAGCGCTTGCTAGAGCGGGAACTGCAGGAAATGGCTCCCTTTATCCCTGGCTCAATGATACTCATTTAATTAATTCAAGAGAGATTAGTAAGAAAGCAAAACATAACAGCAGAATCACTGTTAGTTGCCACTGCGGAACTGCGAAAGCTCGGATGGCATGGAAAAACAGCAGAATACTCAACAGAAGAAATAAAGAAAACCAAGAAAAAGAGAGAAATGGAGATGAAGCAAAGCATTTGCCTCTTACAAGGCCCAAAACATTGTTAAAGGGCCTTCGGGCTTGTTTGATGGCCTGCTGCATGCCTCTTACAGGCCAAACCACATGCACGTGTGTCTGCCTCGGACAAAGCAGCAAGCCTGCTGCAGCTCGGGTAACATGCTACCATGCTGCAGCGTCAACTATATAAATGTAAAAACATGTGGAAGAAAAAGGGAGGGTGTGAGGTTTCTCTCTTTTGTTATAACACATCCCACCATATTTACGTGTCGAATAGTTTAATATTAACTGCTACGGATAAATTTCTCCAAAACGTTTGCCCTTTTAACCTTGCGTACCACATTTGTTGCAGTTTGAGACAGAGGTGCATAGCCATCTGCTCGTTTTAGTGAGGTTAAAAGAGGGCAGAAACCACGCTGGTTTTTGGACACTGGACAGTGACAATTTAAGTAAAAAAATTTCTTATGAGCTGAAGCTGCTGTTGGCTTCCTCACCGCTCGTTCAGAGACATCTTGGTGGTGCTCTTTAGCACAACCTTCGGTGCTGACTGTGCAGCCATCTTCAGATCAAGAGAATCTGCAAAACACGAGAACGAGATTTAACAAACAGCACAAAGATCTCGCTCTTACTCAACTAAACATGAAAAAATCTGCATTCGGGCTCCTTTGGCGGAGAGAATCAAGAACAGGGCAAGTAAGGCGCACTCTATTCATGTGGCTTTAGTAAGTTTTCTAGCCCACTGCCACAATACAGCAGGTTTAATAAATCAGGAAGTTACGCTAACTCATCCTTACTAAGAAGCCTCTCTAGAAAAGTGAAAATGCTACGATTGGCAGGAGTAATGCTGCAAAACCACAGTCCATTAGTAGCCAAGATGGCACCCTTGTTCAGTACAGCATTCAGTGGCACTGCCACAGCTCCTAAAGCTTTTAGTATCAGCAAAACGGAAACCCCAATCTGCTTTAAACAGACACATACACGGCACAGAATTCCAAGATTACTCTACAGAAGTCCCATATACTTTAACAGTATTAAGGTTCCATCCTCTCCTTATGATTACCACCCTGCCTGGACAAAGTGTCAGGGAGCAGTCACTTGGGGTTTTTAATATCCAGTACCCCGGTAGCAGCTCATTCGCAGTCCTAACGCGGTTCTCAAACACGAGAACCTGCCACATGCCTCATGGAAGCAGCAAAGGGATTTAAACTCAGCTGTTACGGATCTTTGGAGCCCAGCTCAAGCCCGAGTGCTTTAGCAGTGATGAATGCTACTGAAACGTGCTCTGCTCATACCCACCAACTATGCAGATCGATTTCTTTTCTTTTAAATTATAATTAGTATCAAATTTAATGCTTAGATGACTGCGGAAAAGTACTCACTCTCGAAACACCTTGAACAAAATGCTTTCTTTACAACGTTTTACAGCCCATCAGCTAGGAATTCAGCCCCCTGGCAGCAGAACCCCATTTTAATTAAAAAAGCCTGGGCAG